TTTTCGCACAAGCGATACTGAATCTATAAAAGTTATAGGTATTTTATACGCAGATAATGGCGCCATTATTTGTTTACTTTGGTAACAAAGTTATCGCGTGACAACACAGGTTTATAATCTTACTTTTAATGTGAGATAACAAGACTCAGTAAAATACATAGTTTCAAGCTTTCGAGCTTGTGCAGAATGTAAATAAAAATTCAATCGCATCTCACTTATCAGAATAAGAAGCAGCAAACATGCAGCATTCAACTGAGTAATGACATCATAAATGAGAATTATCTGAGTTTTGATGCAAACAGAAAGCAACTATATAGATTTCTATTTTAATCTACTGGACATTACATCATTTTGTAACGTTCTATTACTTGAGGTAATTTTTTGCTTGTATTCTTTAAATAACGGAAAACGCCGATTCCGAAATAATAGCATCGATACATTTTCTCTCTGAGAGATAATGGTTCACATATTTCATTTTTAAGCCGACAAAAACAGCTAAATCATAAAATGGACATCATCGCAATCTATTTTTAATAATTATTTATCAACATTATTTTATCGATCACGGGAAACAAGTGTTTCCCGTGTTTGAATTATTTTACGTTTTTGTAAACATGCATCATGCACATTCAGATCAATATTCAACATTTTTTTGAAAGTAGATATATATTTTATGACACAAAGATGATTGTTGAAATCATGATTTAATAAACAAGAACACGAGTTTTATAATTAAGTTTCCTTATAAAAATGTATTTATAAATATTTTTTTTATTTTATGTATATATATATATATTGTATGTTAAAATTATTCTCGCTTTGCAACTGTAAGGTTTAATAAAATTTTGCTTTGTAAGTCTTTATAAGTCAGAAGAAAAATGAAGATTTCAAAAAATTACAATCTTGTAAATCTTGTATAAATATCGAAGTCACAATTTTATAAAAATTGTTTAATGAAATTTTTAGTATATTTAACAATTTTTAACAATTTTTAATGATATAAATATAAAATTTGTTGCGCGAAATTTTGGATTTAAAAAATAATTGAGTTTAACAAGAACTGATTTATTGCATATTTCTATGCAATTTCATACATATTGCATATGCCACGTAATAAATCCACATATTAATTCCAATAGTGTTAAGAAATGAGAGTATTTAATACCATATCATTATTACAATAAATTACAAAACGTTGTTACAGAATATAAACGATTCATTATCATTATACAATGCATTAAATTATAGAAACAATAAATAGCATGCGTGATTTTTGAAAAGCTAGATATATGTATATATTTTTACAACCAATCGTGAAATAATCTTTTTACAAATATGTAAGCGACGGAACGGTGTTTGTTAATAAATAAATTGCAGACGATATAAGTTATCGATCTCAAAAATTGATAATTCACCTTCATTGTTTTTCTTTTCGTCGCGCCGTATCAAAAATAACATTTATCATCGCATAAACTTTGATAACAAATTGGGTTTACAATTCTCTATAAACTTCCGCTATATTACACTCTGGCACTTGAGATTAGTGTTACAAAATAAGCGAATATCCTGAGAATATTCGAACATCTTTATAAATTATACTAGAGAATGTATTCTCAATATACTATATTAACATAATTCCTACTTTTAATATTCTCAGGATATACTTCAAAGTCCCTTTTCCAGAGAATTCATCGGAATATTCTCCTCTTCGGAGTACTTTCTTCCGAGAATACTTCCATGCTATTGCTCGGGATTCTTAATACGAGCAACTGATTTGCTGATTGAATGACATCAGCTGGAGAATCCAGGATTGGTATGTTCTATGACGCAACGTCGGCAGTAACGTTTAACCGCGCGATAGCCGACCCACGTGACTCTAGAGCACTCGCCGATGTTGAGTTGCCGCAAGCCACGTACATAGTAGGCCAAGGCTTCGAGACCAGCGTCGGTGATCCTCTCGCATCCGCATAAGGATAGCTTCTTCAAGTTCGGACATCCGGTAGAGAGTGCCTCGAGGGTCGCATCGCCAATGTCGCACTTGCCTATGTCCAGGGCGCGCATACGCGGACAACCACGTGCCAAAGCGATGGTCGCGCTGTCGCTAAGCGCTTCGCAACCACGAGCGTTTAAGTAGCGCAGTTTGTAGCAATGACGGGCGACGACCAACAGACCAGCATCGGACACGCGGTCGCATTTGCCTACGGAGAAGTAACGGAGCGATGGACCGAGACGTGCAGCCAGTTCGCGCACCCCGAAGTCTGTAACTTTCATGCAGTCCGACACCGACAATTGACGCAGGTTGGCGCAGTAGGAAGCGATGGTAGCCAGGCTGGAGTCGGTAATGCGGCTGCATCTACGTAAATAAAGGCATCCCAGGTGCGGCATGCGCGACAGGCTTAGCATCAGGCCGGAATCCTCGACTCCATGGCAATCGCTAAGATCAAGCGACTGTAGCTGTAAAATAGTGGTACGACCGCAGGCACGAGTAACATTAGAACAGCCAGTCAAGTCAAGCTCTCTGAGATGAGCACAGCTGTCCAGTACGGAGGTAACGTTGGCGTCGGTGATTCGACGCGAGTGTCGCAACACTAGGGAGGTCAGATTGAGGTACGGCAGTTGAGCGAAGATGCCGGGCAACCCGGTGGCGCCTTCCAGGACCAAACGACGGACACAGGTGTGACAACCACGGCGCGTCAGCGCGTTTAACGCCGCGGTGGCATTCTGTGGATAACGCACCTCGACTTCTCGCCAAAGTGCCGGATGCCACGCAATCTCCCAGAGTCGTCGGCAAGTCTGCGCCAAGGAACAGCGATCGTGGGTGTCGAGCCAGCTAAAAATCCTCAGCAGCAGACTGTCGTCGAGCTGGCAGAGGTCATTGACGGCGACGTGATGAACCAGATGATGCTTAGGCTGCGATAGCTGTTGCTGCTGTTGCTGTTGACGAGTCGGCGTGCTGGATACACCCGGGGTTGACGAGGACGATGATGAAGTAGTGCGGCAAGCATTGTTATCGAGGGTGTGATAGCCCAAGTCAATAGCGTCCGCACCTGGTCGATAAACGCCGACCTTCTGCGACGAGTAGCCTCCTCCCCGCTCAGAGCCGCTCTGTTCTCCGAAGCTGGGAAAGAGGAGTGGACATGATCCTTCCATTCCATGCTCCGTTCTGCAATTCAGACATTCGTTTCAATACAATCGTGTAATTTTTATATTCATATTCTAAGTAGAGATAAAAATTGTTGGATCTGAAGGACATTTCACAACAAGATTTACATTGTAAAACGTAATTTATGTTTTTAAACATTTTCTTGCTGAACACAAAATAACAGTAATGTTACAGCAATGTTATAATTTCCTACTAAACATGTATAATCGTTATTTACAACTTTGTTATGTTACATATATATAGTATATATGTGTATATTTTTTTGCAATTTTAAACAGTGTTTAAAATCCAATTTGTAAGTGCATACAATAAAATTATTATTTATTATTGCTATTATTATTATTATTATTTTGTTGAAGAAATTATAATATTGATATAATGTTATTGTTACTTTGTGTTTAGTAGATTTTCACAGATTTGCTCACACACAATAAAAATGTAAGTATATTTTTCGAAATTAAAGGATAAATTCTAATTTAAAATTTAACAATTAAAGTATATATTCAAAATTGGCAAAGTAAATTACAATAGAAATTGCTTTCGAAGTTATTTCTAAAAAAATTCAAATTTTATATGCTTAATTATTAGCCTATGTTGTCTAATGACGACATATGTCATGACGTAATTAATAGATTATTCTTCGAATTTACGAAGCTAAACGTAGAACTGCCATAATTTCCACTTTTCTCAATAAAATTACTTTCGCACTGCTTCAATGATAAGTTACGGTATTCGCTTTCGAGAAAAAAATTTTGCCACTGTACGGATCTCGAATTTTGCGCGGTGCGTATTTACAGAGCGCGAGTTATAGCGCGGGCAGGGGCCTTATAGACGCGTCGCGTCACGACCGTTTACGGCACGGTTTGACGTGCGAATTTCACAATTAACTCACAACGGGATGCTGGACGGGAGAGTCAGCGACCGTGCGTGACATCACCGAGCAATATCGATCTATCCGCCACCTCCTCCATGTTGATCCCGCATTCCAACTCTCGAAGCAGATGCGGGGCCCGCGTTTCACTCGCACGGGGGGGCCGAAGGACCGCGTAGGAATGGGGTCCACTCGACGTTCGCGCTCACTCTGGAAATTCTCGAATTCGATTGCTTGTGCAGCTGCCGAGAAATGTGCGCGATCGCGTTTCGCGACAATCCGACGAAAAATCATATGACAGGACTCCCGACACACTTACAGGGCCCCCCCCCCAGCACAATCGTGCATCCCCCCCTCTTATTTCCACGCCAGGGCCCCTGAGGCCCACTCCAGTCTCCAAGTCGATCAACCGGGACTTCTAGCGGACCCGTGTACCCATGATGAAAGGTGCGTTGCGAAAAGCGCTTCGCCTCATTGGAGACGCATAACTGTGCTGAAAGGTTTCGCATGAAATCAACGAGCTGCTAGATATGTAAATAAATCGAATAAAATTCAGAACAAAAAATAAGCGTAGTAAATAATAATAAAATAGATCGTGTACGAATGTGAAAATTTAGACGATTGCATTGGCAAAATGGGCAAAATGGCGATAGACCAAACTCTAGGTAGGCTATCGTGTCTCATTACAAGGCTTATTCGATGTAAAATGGAAATCAAAAATTATTTAATAAAGTTAGTTTATATAAAATTATTTTATAAAGTATATAATATTTCGGAATCATAAAACAACTTAATTGTTCTATAATGGACATGTTATTCTGGTTGTTTTTACGGGAAATAATTTGTAGAACACTAAGTAGGCGACAGAAACAAAGATCGTGCCATTTCCTCGCTGGAAATATTCGTAGACTTGACTACGTAGTTCAAGGTACACGCACATAGAGGCGTTAGTAGATTTTAAATGTGGACATGTTTACTCTCAAGTTTTCTTTAGTTCATGAAACATAACCTCACTGTAACATATTACTGAACATATGTAAATAAAACAACGACATTCTCTGATGCACAAATTACAAGTAAATCATAAGGTTCATTTTTTTATTGTTGCACTGAATTGCAAATTAGAACTTCTCTTCGCTTTTGCCAAATTTCAAATATATATTTATTCCAAAGTAGTATTAAGTATAAAAAGTTTATACTAATTCAGCTAAATAAACTGAAAATTTACAGAAAGGAGATAAAGGTAAAAGGAAGAAGGGAAAGTTTTCAACGGAATGGTGAATTTGTCAATAAACATGACCATGACTAACATCTTAAAGAACAAGAACTTGTCTTTTGAGGACAAGCTATTCAAGAGAAGCAGAAAAGAATGGCGAAAGAAGAAAGGCCGGCAAGCTCCAACCATCATTGACAAAAAGTACAAGAACATCAAACCACATATTTCTTAGTATATCAGCTTGGTACAGTGGTATGGTTGCCCAAACTCCTACTTTGAAACACAGAGACAACAAGAAACAGAAGTAATATAGTTCCACAAATACTTAGTACAATCGTGGGTCCTATCCGAGTGAAAGCCAAGTAATCAAGCCATTGGAGAATCAGGAAAGAAAACTACAAAGGCAATTGATAACGTTCAAGATAAAGTATCATTCGTTAGAAAAGAGACGGACGTTAAGTCAGATATGTCAGACAGTAATCATTTACAAATAGATCTTCGTCTGACGATGGCTGGGAAAGATCAAATAGAGAAGAAACGAAAATTGAAGAAACAGAAACAGAAGAAAAATCGATAGAAGATAAAGAATAATATCGAGAAACAAGACAATGATGACAAGCTGAAGAAAGCATTGGAAAAGGGAAAGGAAAATACAAAGGAAGCAGATGGTTGAAAATAGGCAAGGATAGGAAGATAAATTATCGATTAATGCGGTGCGTTTGTTCTTCAAAACAAGACAAGAAATTTTCATTGAAAGAGAGAAAGAGAGACAATGTTTGTGTCTTGAAAAATTAATGCTAAGTTATTAAAAGTTGTTAAAATTGCTAAGTTATGTAACAAAGCTCCCTATATTTACTGTACATATATTTGTATTTATTGTAATATATTTATATTATAATACTTACATATGTATAAAAAAGTTGCAATATAAAATATCTAATTTATTTTACAAATATAATGAAAATTTAGCATTTAATACTTTGATTTATATAGTATAAATTACACTAATTATGTGCATGGGAAAATTTTTTGTGAAAATTGTTTTAATTATCATTTAAAAATTAGAAAGTTTAGACGAATTCAGTTTTGAAAATATAAACATGTATACTATACAATATTTTGTTTTTACAGCGATTCTTTGAAATGTTCAAAATTTCGTTCACAAAACGTGATCTAGATATTTTTCGCTAAGAAAAATATTCCGAGCTTTTTATTTTGGACCGAATAGTACATTTAGAACAAATATAAGCATGATTACGTCTAGCAAAAAAAAAGGAAGCTTTCAAAATATATTTTTACATTAAAATATTTTATTTTTTACAAATTATTTTTTGGCTCAACGTACGATACAATTATTTTGGCTGCGTTCGGAAACATTGCTCAGATGCCTCCGATGCCTCAAATTCATCATGTTATCCTTGTTTAACATTAATGACTTGTTTAATGTTAATCAAGGACAAGATAATGGATCAGCCTTTGTGTTAAGTTTTTCTCTTTGAAGCATAAAACAAAAAGATGGTAAAAAAAGCTTAGAAGAGTACGCTCCACAGATTTTTATATAAGATAAAAAAATATTTTTGTATATAAATTCAAACAGAACAACAAATCACAATAACGTAAAAATGACATTAAAATGAATCGAAAATGGTTGAAAAATAAAACTTTTAATGATCATTTTAGAGTCATTTTGACATCATTATAATATCATAATGACTTGTTCTACTTGGGAAGTCGTCTATTATCATCGAAGAACGAACAGTCTTTCGCATTCATAATTCGCGCGGTTTACATTGGTTTACATCGCGTGGCGCCAACGTTTCGGAGATTAAATCCAGCCTATCAGAATCGTCGTTTCGTCGTCGCCGTCGTGTGCGGCCTTCATGATGGGGGTATATATGTATCACACCTAATGCTCTTGGGAACGAATTATGGCATTGTCTTTTATCAGGACTGGAGCATTACAGTACGGAAATTCGCACTTGCGTCTGTTCACCAACGTATCGATCATGAAGGTAATATCGCGCGATTCTTCCTCGTTGATTAAAAAACGGCACGTTCGTTCTTCAAAACGATGAGACGCGAAATTCTCGTGGAATCTCGAAAAATTCGGACAAGCATGATGCAATTTGTCGTCATGTGCAAGTGCAAACATATCTTGGGCGTCTTATCTAAATTCTTTCCTGTCGACGTCAACAATCAAATGTCGACGCCAACTCGATATTCCGTATTCTCAGATATATTTATTCGTCGACAATCTTGTCTTATTATCGCCCGCTTCACCTGACATATTTATCCCTTTTTTCCGCAGACGGGATTGGTATTGGGTGTATACGAAACTGAGAGCGAGGACAACGTCGTGCTCACCCCTACGGCGGCCAAGTACAATGAGCTGGTTAACGGCAAGTTGCTGAAAAACATTCTGCTGTAAGTCTCAATGTCCGCTACTTATCATCGCTGTAAAATCTCTTTTGTGCATCCGCGCGATTTTAGAAACGGCATCACGCCGCAGAGCGTCGTTCTGTGTTATAGATTATTATATTATTTTGTTATCTAACAAGGCTGTATCCCTTGTGCGTCACTGTTGTAGAATATATTGTACTTGCCAGACTACTCTGCCTTGACTATTTGGACACAAATGTTGACTCGACGCATTGAATCTCTCTCAAATACCTCTCAAATACTCTTCAAATACCTTTTTTCTTTCTCCATATTGAACCCTTCCTTCTCTTAACAAGGTTAATCTATGTTCCTCATGTATATACATACTTTATTTAACACATACTTTATTTAACAAGCGTGTATACAAAGTTATAGTATCATGACGCGTACAAGAAAGTCCCTGCCCTCATTACAGCATTGCACTTCCAAATTGTTGTTTCACTTTCGTTTGATCATACGATATAACAATATGTTTAAATATTTTATTCATATTTCCAGCCTGAAACAATTGTTATAATGCTGCCTGAGCTTTATCTGACATTGAAAAGTGCTTTCCCTTTGTTATCTTAAAATTGTCATATATGAAGTATCATTTCTGTTAATTGAAAATTTTGAATTTTTCAATGATAGTCTTGCGCAACACGAGCTCACTGGCATTATTTTCATTGTTTCAGGAGTGACTAGAGTGAGAGACGGTATTATACGCATGATATGAAGCGCAACTTGCTCCGCACAAGGATATCCTAGAAACACGCTGCGCTTTATAAATAAGAATATAATACTGCCTGATTTATGATACATTCTTTTCAATGCGACGTCAGACGAAATTGAAATAGGAGATTTTAAGCTGTTAAATCGTTGAGTTAATTAACCATCACTGCTTCAAGACTGACACAAGAATCAAGTAGAGTAATATTAGTAATGTCGACTCCTGGCGACAGTAATATGGGGAATGATAGCAGCGCAGGGAGCAGTGGTGGATTAGGCGATGGTAGCGGTAAATTTAATAAGCCTCATCCATCTACAAACGTGCTACAGAGGATGACTGGCATATTAGAAGATAAGAGCAATGATTACATGTGTCCAATTTGCTTTGATCTTATCGACACGGCGTATATCACACGTTGCGGACACACATTTTGTCATCATTGTATTGTAAAATGTTTAGAGATTAAGGACCGTTGCCCAAAATGCAGTTTCACGTTGAGCGAACAGGACATTTTCCCGAATTTTCTGTTGGACGAGCTAGTTTCCAAGTATAAAACGAGAACCAAAGGTCTCGCTCAGCTAGGCTCTTACGCGGACAATAGTAGGCACAGAGCGGCGGGTAACGATTCATCGGTACCGGCATCTGATGGATTGAGAAGCATTGTGGCAGCGGAGAGTGCCAATCTTACTCTACCCGACGTAAATGTGATGTTGGAGGTGCTGACTCAACGAAAGCATCTGCTCGAGGCAGAGACTTGTACGGCGCAAAATAAGCTTTTACACGAGTTTCTCAAACACTTGCTGCAGCAAAAGGAAGAGCAAAAGAATCAATTGCAAAAAGAAGTGGCATTGATCAAGAAGGACATGGAGGAAGTGGAAAACATTCTGAAGGATGTTCAGAGCAAGTGTCCGCGAGTAGAGGACGTCAAGAAGGCGAGTGAGAACGATACCGCACAAGTATCAGCCATTAGGCGAGAGATGCTCGGCCTTATAGATATAATAGACTCAAATATGATAAAACCTAGTGAGAAGGCCACTGATACTTTCACCAATCCAAATGTCAGTCAGCCCGGTGGATCAACGCTAGCCATACGTAGAAAGAGGCTACACGCTCATTTCGACGATTTCGTTCAATGTTATTTTGACTCTCGCGGCAAGGAACTGTTACTCGGTCAGAAAACACAGTCTCAGAGCGAAGTTCAACAGCACGGCGGCATGCACAGTACGAGTTCCGGTCTAGATGTCTTTCGCGAAAATCTCGTCAAATTCTCGAGGTACAATTCCCTTCGTCCACTGGCCACCCTCAACTATTCATCGGATCTCTTCAATAACTCAACCATCGTGTCCAGTATCGAGTTCGATAAGGATAATGAATTCTTCGCAATCGCCGGTGTTACCAAACGTATCAAAGTATTCGATTACGGTGCGGTTATCCGTGACACTGTCGACATTCATTATCCCTGCGTCGAGATGGTTTCTAGCTCTAAGATTTCTTGCGTTTCTTGGAATTCCTTTCACAAAGGAATGCTTGCATCTTCGGATTATGAAGGCACTGTGACGGTATGGGACGCGATGACCGGTCAAAGGACAAAGGCGTTCCAGGAGCACGAGAAGAGGTGTTGGTCTGTCGATTTCAATGACGTGGACACTAGATTGATCGCGTCCGGCTCTGACGATGCCCGAGTCAAGTTGTGGGCATTGAATACCGATTATTCCGTGGCGTCGTTAGAAGCGAAAGCAAACGTATGCTGCGTGAAATTTAATCCACGCAGCTCATGTCACCTGGCATTCGGCTCTGCAGATCACTGCGTACATTATTACGATTTACGCAACATGAAGGAAGCACTGTGCATATTCAAAGGTCACCGCAAAGCCGTCTCCTATGTCAAGTTTATCAATAAGGAGGAAATTGTATCAGCCAGTACGGACTCTCAATTGAAGATGTGGAATATAAATAATCCGCTTTGTTTACGGTCGTTTGTTGGGCATGTGAATGAGAAAAACTTTGTCGGACTCGCCACTGATGGTGATTACGTGGCCTGCGGATCAGAAAATAATGCACTGTACGTGTATTACAAAGGACTAACGAAGCAGTTATTCTCGTACAAATTCGATGCCGTTCGAAGTATATTGGAGGTGCAAGACAGAAGAGAGGAAGATCTGAACGAGTTTGTATCCGCGGTGTGTTGGAGACAGATGTCTAATGTCGTAGTAGCCGCTAATTCTCAAGGAATTATCAAAATATTAGAACTGATTTGAGACAATTAGGGAAAAGCAATTGAACTTAACTGATTGTGAGTGAAAAACGCATATTCGATTACTATAAATTAAAACGGGTCTAAATAATAAAGAAGGTAGAACCAAATTAGAAATAAATAAGATAAAAATTCTACTTCAAGTAAAGAATTTATCAAATCTGTTGTTTTGTGTTTTTGTATTTTTAACCCGCGTACTTAGACCCTTTTTATTTTATGGTATCTCTCTTGTGATTATTTTAAGCGTGAATAACAACGAGAAATAACAGAATCATTCTAAATAGCGTAAT